TTAACTGCCATATGTTTTGTTCAGTAAAATTAGGCAGTCTTTTTCTCCTTAGAAAAAATGTACTGATCTTTACCAGCATTTGCAGTTCACAAGCATAGTTACTCTACGTTGTCCATCAGTCTCTGGAAGGTTGAAGGTCATCCATGTACAGTAGATGCATTAGCTTCTGGAGATCAATCGTAATCCAAATGCCAAATGGAAAGATTCTAATCAAATAATAGCTACCCTGCTCTAAGTTTCTCATGTGAATATATTGCAAGATCATATTGATATAAACAAACCTTAGTTTAAGCAAAATGGTATATTAAAAATTGGGAAATTTAAGTTTTGTCTTTCTATTTTTTTTTTGACACTTGAAAGTAGTCTCAAAGTAAACCCTAAACCAGATTTTTTTTTTTTTTTGTATTACTAAGAAAATTAAATTTTTTTAAGCATTAATTTTTATTTTTAGTTCCATAGCAAACATACCAAAAACATTTTTGATGGACAATTATTTTTGTTTTAAATCACAAGATGCAACAAAAAACGTATACAATTTAAATTGATAAGGCAAATGTCTAAATATAGTTGTGGTTTTGAGTGTTATATAATGTGATTTTTTTTTTTACTGTCATGCCGGAATAGTTTGTAAAGAACTTGACTATTAACTAATTGTGCAACTATTGTATAATAGTGTTTTTGTATAATACTTTTATACAATATATAAAATTTACCAAAAAAAGTCAAATTTGATCTTAAAAGTTATACTCAACAAATGTTCAATGCTTCATTTATAAACTCTGTAGCTGTTAATGCCATACTTTTCTGCATTTCTTCTTACATGCATGTTATTTTTGACTGTTTTCTCTTGTTTTTAATAAATATTTACCTTTTGATAGTCATTTTGTGTGTGTAAAAGTGATTTTAAAATGAACAAGATTTGTAGGTTTAATGTTTAGCTCGATTTGGGTTCATTTTAACCTAGCAGTGTAGTAATTTTAAACCATAAAAAAAGCAACCCAGCATGCTGGGTCAAACATATAACCCAACTTGTTGGGTTAAAACAACCCAGTGCTGGGTTTGTCCCTTTTTGACCAAGCGCTGGGTTGCCAAAATAACCCAAATTGGGTTGTTTTTAACCCAGCCGTTTTTAGAGTGTACTAGTTCAGTGAATCGCAAACAATTACTGCACATGCACCTGTGGAACAGTTCTTAAGACATTAAGGTTTACAGGCGGTAGGCAATTAAGGGCACAGTTATAACTTAGGACAGTAAAGAGGCCTTTCTACTGATTATGAAAAAACCCAGAAGAAAGATGCCCAGGGTTCCTGCTTACCTGCATGAACATGCCATAGAGCAGGGAGGCAGAAGGACTGCAGATGTCCGTAAAGTAAGATGCCTAAGACAGTTGAGTGCTGCAGGGAGACAAGAAAGAGCCGATGGACCTCTCAGTGGCAAACCACAAGTGTACCCCCCAAATGTTTTCTTTCAACTTGCAAGTGCCTTGGTAGAAGAGTGGGTAACATTTTAACAGAAATAACTGGTAAATCTGGTGCAGTCCATGCTGATGAAATGCACTGTAGTACATAAAGCAGCTAGTGGAGACACAGAATACTGACTGCTAATTTTGATATTGACCCCCTTTTGTTCAGAGACTCATTATTCCATTTTTGTTCATGAAAGGCCTTTGAAACTTGTTCAATAACTTGCTAATTGCAGGTTAGGCATGTGGTTCAAAGCGTGCATGAACTGCAAACATTTTATTTAGATTAATATTCAGGTCTGTGCTCAAAATGCATGGGGTGCAAAGACAGCGGAAGCATTGTGTTCATCATCAGTGCCAGTTCTGGATCCTTTGATGTTAATTATTTATTTATCTTTATATATAAATATAATGTATTGTATTGTAATGTATGATATGTATTGAAAAAGTACATGGACAAGTTTACTACCTGCAAATAGATTTTGGTTTACTTACTACATAAAGTATACTTGAAACCCCCGATACAACCTATTTTTTATAAGGGAAAAATAGGGATACGAGAGAGGTTGGTCAGGCTGGAGAAGCTGCCCGTCGATGGTGCGGACCCGGTCATACGCATTTTTAAGCGTCTCATCACGAGACTGCTCCAGCGGAAAGTCATCCAGCTCGGGGGATATAAGCTCCGCCCTCGCTCTCGTTTCCACTGAGACAGCCTGTGACGGTCCCGAAACAGCATCTCCAGCCTGCGCCACCGCTTCCCCGTTTTCCCAGCCCTGTCTCCCAAGAAGCATCCGCACACAAAACCCCCGGCCGCCGGGGAGGCGGTAACCCGGATCAACGCGCCCACCTCCATCATTGGACACCGGTCCAAAAAATGACCCAGGTCCCCGCATCTCCAGCAGGCCGGCCCAGGCCTTCCCGCCGCCCCAGCAGCAGAAGGATGGCCAAGAGATTGGCGTAGAGAGGAGAAAGGCGGCGATGGAGCAGCGGCTTCTGCGCTCTCCGCCACGCCCCCTCGTGTCCCCGGTCTGGTCCCCTGGAAGACCCCACCCCGCTGCGCAGTTCGTGGGGGCGCATTGCTACGCGACCTGGGAGTAGGAATAGGGTGAGAGAGAGACGGAAGGGAAGGAGGGGGGAGAGAGAGAGAGATTAAAAAGGGGCTCGCCAACCCCCGGGCACGCCACCAGATGGTCTTCAGCCAGCTGGATGGCCTGCGTCAGCGACGTCGGGCGGTGGCACTGGACCCACTCGGCCGTCCCCCGTGGTAGCCGAGCGACGAACTGCTCCAGCACCACCAGATCGACCACTCCCTCGACGTCGCGTTGCTCTGCCAACAGCCACTTGTGGCCAGCGTCCCGGAGCTGTTGGGCCATCACGAATGGCCGGCCGCTGTCCCCCAGCTCCCTTGACCGGAAGCGCTGCCGATGTTGTTCGGGGGTACGGCCGACTCGTTGAAGGATGGCCCGCCAAACAGGTGTTAATCATTATTCACTTGACCTCCTTATCACCGCTCGTCTCCAAACCCTTTCTCCCGCTGCAAACTTTCGCCTTCCCACGCCCCCCTCGCCACAATCACCTTAATTTTTTAAATGAAAATGACAAGACCCATGATTCATTTTTTACAGTGTTGTAACAGGCGCAAGTCTCCTCCCTACTAGACTGTTTATGTACAGGTTTCTTATTTCAAATAGCATCATATAATAATTGCTGTTAATAGTGTTCATCGTCTGTTTTATTACATCTTTAATTGATTTTTCTGTATACATTTCTGCCATAGGTAGCTACATTGACTGACAGTCACCATTGATAAGCTACTACTTAATATTGTAGAAACTTAATTTGCTGTAAAGTTGCTTTGCATTGATTTGTATCGTGAAAAGCGCTGTACAAATAAACTTGAATTGAATTGAATTATTTATTTTCATCTCCTTACAGTTTAACTTCTTTGCTCTTGGCCATGTTAACGCCTATTTACAAGTGGTCAGATCCGTCTTTTTTTAGTCGTGTTAGGGTAACATCATCAGGTTCTACACAAACATTCAGTAAAGAAATGGTAATATTTCTGAATGTTTACATATATTTCTTAAATATAGGCGATATATACGGGAAAAAAACACTAGGGGGCGATAGCTATCATTGAGAGTACACCAACTGATGTAGGCCCAGTGTAATGGATGATTACAAAACATTTTTCTGGATACTTTAGCAGCTTTGTTTAGTTCGTAGTCACACATATATTTCAAGAACTTTGTTAGGCATTACTATAGTAATAATTATGAAAAATGCATGCATTAATATACTGACATTTTAATACAGGCTAATGGAATTCATATTTTATACTCTCACGATAAGATTGAGTCTCAATTAGTCAATTTAAATAGCCCTACCTGAACTGTAAAATATTGCCAGATTTTTTCAAGATATAATAGTCTTTCTTACAATACAAGACTGAATTCAGAATTTTTATTTGAAATTGATTGTCATAAAACTATACAGCAAAATAAAGCAGCAAATTATACAAAAATGCAACTACATAATTTGTTACATGATGGAAATCTAAGCAGTTCATTCATCTATCAATATACAAAAGATTAATGTAATGCATGTAATGAAACGTAATGCTTCAGGTTTTCCACCATGCCATTTGGACACTCATGTTTGTTCAGTTTCTGTAACAAAAATTGAACAGAAATATAAAAATAAAGAGGGTCTAAAAAGAATAAACAGCAAATTGTTCAAGTAGTGGTTGAAATGAAGGGTGCACTTTAGAAAATAACTATCAAATCTGCTTAAATCACATTAATTCAAGTCAAAATGTTAATGATGGAGAACGCTAAATGGTTACTCTGTTATCATGCAATTTATTTTGAATAGTCTATTAAGAAAGAAAGAAAGAAAGAATTTGAATTGTAACAATATATATATATATATAT